GGTTCAGAGGCTCTATATCCAGCTCCACTAACAATCAGATGAATTTCCTCCGTGGGCAGCCGGGCAGTCAGAGTGGGTCATGGCTGACAGGCCTGAAACATGGTTACAGAGACAGCTCTCTTCCAAAAAGACACAAAAAGAAAGAAAGTCAGTGGACCTGCCATCCCCATTTCCATTTTTTGTGTTAAACTACATTATCTGGCTGCTGGCTCTTTCTTTTTATTTAGTGTCCCAATATTAGAGCTGTTAATCAATCTTGTAATCTAATGCTGAACAAGAAAAGTAAGATGCATGCTTGTGAAATGCCAGATACTATTAAAGGAAAAGTAATAATATTAAAGAAGGGTAGTTCATATTTGTGTCTTGTCTACAGAATGGCTATACTGCCCTTCATGCTGCTGTTATGAGTGGAAATCTTCAATCTGTTCTGCTGCTACTTGGAGCGAATGCTGACCCAACGCTACTCAATAAGGTGGGATAGCTGACAAACAGCAGACAACCTAAGTATATAATCTCATTAGATATTATAATCAAAGTGTTTCCCATGTATCTTTTGCAGAATAGTGAACTCCCTGCAGATCTGACAAAGAATGATCGCATCCTTAAGGTTTTACGTCCAAAAATCCTGAATGGACACAGCTGATAATGGCACAGGTTCCTGCCTTCACGCCTGTCTGTGTAAGGAGGGGGAAAGAAAACAAGTGTCCAATCCACCCAATTACAACATGTACTGTACACGGTGCTTGCTTTTGGTTGAAATTAAGCTGTCGTATGCCGAACAAACCTGGACAAAGTATAGCGCAACACAAAAAACATTTGTCTTCCATGTGCATCATCCCCTACTGGTCTCCTGTTTATTTGTGTTTATCCCAAGTGTTGTCAGATTTCTATATATTTTGCACTCTTTATTTGCCTTTTTAATAAATGTAATAAAGTGTAATTTTATTTATTAATGCAGGAGTATCTGTGTGGATGTGTAATATTTTTTTTGGAATTACATTTTATTTGCGGTTGGAAAATGAGCAGTCATGATAAAATAAGGATCAGATATTACGTACACATTTTAATAATAGTTATGTGACGAATACCCACTAGAGGTCACTATTATCCCTATTAACAGACACCTGTAGCTCACCTGTGCTGTGATTTAATTACATTAATTCCGTTTTTTCCCTCAAAAACGTTAAAACGGTTATGAACGTACACGTTTATATGGTAAGTTCTATTAATTAAAAATAACTTTCAAATGTACGGATGAAACACGAGAAATTACAGCCGCTGTTAAGCTACTTTATGTCACGTGACCATCGCGGAAGTGACTGGAGCTCTTGTTGATGCGGAAGAGAGACACTTGGGATGTTTGGCTTCTAAAGTTGTTCGACAGTAAACCATATGTGATAGATAATAGAGAAAAAGAAGAAGTGAGCGA